GCTCAGCGGTGGGCTCAGCTCCAGGGCCCCCAGAGCACCCAGCTCCCCGCCCAGAGTGCTGGCGTCGAAGATGGCCTCCCAGTCAAAGTTGCCTTTGAGGGGTTCCAGCTCACCCTGCTCCTCTGGGGTGGGCAGCAGGGTGCTGAGGGGCCGCGGGACCTTGGCCACCCGCTTGGGCAGGGGCTGTTTGCGCTTATGCCCCAGCCTGCCCTCGCCCGCACCCCAGCCCGCCTCCCCAGTGGCCTCCTCAAACTCCCGCAGCAGCTGCTGGGCCTCGGTGTTCACCGTCAGCGGCCTGGCCTGGGGGACAGCGCTGGGCTCCTGCGCGGCCTGGCGGGCAAAGGCCGGGTGGATGTGGACCGGGGGCAGTCGCCGCTTCTTGAAGGCCCCGCTCAGCAGCCGCTCCGCGTACTGGGGGTCGATGCGCCAGAAGCCCCCCTTGCCTGGCTCGTCCTTCTCCCGAGGCACCTTGATGAAGCACTTGTTCAGAGACAGGTTGTGGCGGATTGAATTCTGGGCACAGGGAGAGAGCGAGACGTAAAGAGGAACCACTGGGTCAGTGGGGAAGGGGCAGTGAAGTGGCACCTAGCCCTCCTGCACACCCCCCACCTTCTCTCTGGCAGGGGAGGGGAGGGGGGGACAGATACACTTCTCTGCCCAGGCGGCTGCGGCTCTGGGACACCAGCCACAGGGCACTGGGAGCCCGGAGTGCTGTCGGGGGCTTTTGTTCCCTGTTGCCGGGATATCTGCCTGCTCAGTCATCCGAGCTCTGAGCCGCAGGGTGGCTCTCCGTGCCACCCCCGTCGCCTGCCCTCCCTCCTTCACCCTGCTGCTCATAGCCTCCGGCCAAAGCCCGCTCCCCCAGGGCCTGGACGGCCATCTCCCTCTGCCTGGGCCTGGCTGGCCCTCTCTGTGAGTGTGTGGGTCCAGGGAGGGGGCTGGGCAGCTGAGGATGGAGAGGAGGAGAGAGAGAGAGAGAGAGAGAGAGAGAGAGAGAGAGAGAGAGCGTGCGCGCGCGAGAGCAGGGATGAGGGGTGTGGGATCTGATGACTTTCCCTGTTTGTTGAGCCGGCTGCTGGCCTGGGCCTTCACCCCCCCAAGGCCCCCTCCCCCTACTCCAGGCTCAGTTGATTATTACCCAGCCAAGAGCCAGGAGCATAGCACTCATTCCTGGGGCTGGTTTCCTGAAGCCAAAGCGGAACAGGCTTAGGGTAGGGTGGGGCTGAGGGTCCCTGCTTTTTGCTGTGGCTAAAATGACACTGCTCTAGGGTCAGGGGGCATTTGAAATGGCTTGGGACTGTGGTCCTGTGGCCTGCCTACTTTGGGTGCTTCAGGGAAGAGTCTGGGCATCCTTGGGGGGCCTCTGTTGCCAACTAGCCCTTGACAGTGATGGCCGAAGACAGGGCAATGGCCGCCCAGCCTCAAATCCGCCATCCTCCTGCCTTGTCCATTCTTCTGTGTTTCATCTTGTCCAAATGCTGCTGGGGCCCGGGGTCCTGGGCTGGTACAGCAGGGCAGGTGGGTGGATAGTGCCCCCAGCAAGGCTGGGATGTTTACATGGTGGCCTGGGCCCTTTGGCTGCTCTGTGCCAGGTTCCAGAGACTTGGAACATGCAGCTGTGTGGCAGGCAGAGCCCCTGTGGAAGGCACCTGGCTCAGGTAATTGTCCCCCCAGGGAGGTTGGCTGGGGGGGGGGTTGGAGGGAGGAAACTAAGCAGAGGTTGAGGTAGGGAGCTGGGACAGCAGCTTTAGGAAGGTCCCCTACCCCCTCCACCCTCCAGCGGGACAAAGCTGGCCCTGACATGCCACAGCACTCCTTCCATCCCACCCTCCCCAAGCCAACTGCAAAAGGGCAGGACACAGAGCCTGGCAGGGAGGCCACGTTCCAGTTTCCGTTTCTGACTCCCGGCCCGACAAACCATACCGGGCAGGGCAGTGTCTAGGAATTCTAGGACTTGGGACAAGAATGTGCCTTCAGTTCACTGCTCTCCCCAAGGAGACTCTGTCCACGCAGAGTCTAGCCCTGGTCTTTGGCCTGGGCCTGCTGGATGAATGGCAGGTTCCTTCCCCTTGAATCTCAGCCTCTGCACCCGTAAAGCCCTCCACCTCTGGACATTCTCCCTTCTCCCTCTCTGGAAGTCAAAGGAGGGGCAGTTGCAAGAACTGGGCTCCTTTGCAGTCCTCCCTTCTGGGGCCCTGGCCGCACGGAGCCTACTGGGCCTGCAGATCTGGGATGTGAATCCAGTGCAGAGTGGGGAGCCAGAAGGGAATGGGGAGGGAGCAGCCAACGCCCGCGCCTCCTCTACCTGCCAGGTGGGATCTGCATGGCGGAAGTAGCAGAAGTTGTCCGTGATCCACTTGTAGATGGCCGACAGGGTGATCTTGGTGGCCTTGCTGGCCTGCATGGCCATGCAGATGAGCGTGGCGTACGAGTAGGGAGGCTTCACGTGCGGGTTGGTGGCATAGTCCACGTCGTCGGGGGGCGGGGCCTGCAGCCCAGGGGGCGCGCTCCGCGATGTGCACGACGATGTGGGCTTGCCCGGCGTGTGCGGCTGCCCCAGGCAGGCGGGGTCGGCCGCCAGGGGGGACCCGGGCGCTGCTGAGCCTGGCACCTGGTGGTAGCCGTGGGGGTCGGTGCCCCCTGGGGGCAGGGCGGGGGCCTTGGCGTTGAGAATGGAGAATTCCTGCAGCCACTGAAGGCTGGTCAGGCTGTCATCCAGGGCGTCGGGCTCCTCCAGGCCGCCCTCCGGCCCGGCCTCCTCCGCCGGCCCGGCTCCCGAGAGGCGCAGCCAGCTCTCCGCCATGTCTGCGGGGACTCTCCGAGGGGGCGGTCAGCATCCACGGGCTGAGCCGGGGTGGCCCGCCGCGCTCTCCGGCCCGCTGACTCCCGCAGCTCCCGTTACACGGCCTCCCGGACGCGCGCTTCCATCTCGCGACCCCGGGGGCGCCTCCTCCGAATATGTGTGTGGTGCCTGCGAGGACCACGGCGGGAGCTGAGCATCACCCTCGCCCCATACAGGGGGAGCCTCCCCTAACATCATCCCCGCAGCTGGGGAGGATCTTTTAGTGCCGAGGTCTGGGAAACAGAAGCAAGGCCCTGGGGTCCCACCCCCCACCTCCACCAGAACCGCCTCGCTCCTCTCCTCTTCGAGGTTTTATTAGGCAAATTAAGTAAGAGGGTAGGGGCATCCGAGGCTATCCTTTTCTCCCGAAGCGCAGGAAATCAGGACCCCCTTCCTCCCCGCAAAAAATGGAAAAGGGGCGATTAGTCTGGGAGGGCAGTACGACCGGGTAGGGGCGGAGGAGGTCCTCTGATCCTTGAAAAGGAATATTATGATAGGGAGTCGTCGGGAAGGAAGCGGACGGAACAGTTATGGGGGCAGGAGGCGAGTTTCTCACAAACTCCTCCGAGGTCAGTCCCGGGGCCCACCACTTCCGTCAAGGACGAACGAGAGAGCGGGCTGGTACCGTCGCCCACCCTTCCCCAGCGCCTGTAACCCTCCTCGTCCCTTACCTGGCTCAGAGCGCAGCCCGGGCCAGAGGAAGGTTCTGGAAGAAGTTCCTCCCACCCCCAGCGGCTCTCTGCCCCCAGCTCGAGGGCCCTGCCAGCGCCTCTCGCTGCCCCCCCGCCCGACGGCGCTTCTCTGAGCGACCGCGGCCCTGGGACCGGCAATAAGTAGCCGCTCCAAAGGCTTCTCCTGCTGCCATGGCGACGCTCCGCCCCCATAAACAGCTTCCGCCGCTGCCATTGGCCAGCACGTCTCCAAGGAGACCGCGGGCACTTGCCTCTCTCTCTGGCGGCAACTCTCTTCGAACTCCCTCCTTCTGCCGCCCTCTCCCGCGCCACCCAACCCCCTACCCGCCGCCGCGTCCCGGCTCGGCTCTTTCCCGCCCGAGGGCCCCGCGCTGGGGTCGGAGAAGCGCGCGGCCCGCGACCCCCGGAACCGCTATGGATCCGTTAGTCCTGGGGAACCACGACTCCCGCCCCCACCCCCTTCCAGTCCAGGTCGCTCTGAGGCACCGACTGCTCCTGGGACAGAGCCTCGGGTTGGGGGGCTAAGGCTGGGAGCGGGCTTAGGTTCGGGAACCGTATCCTTGGTTTTCTTTCCTCTCCGCTGCGAGTGGCACTTTCTCAAATTTCTGCCGCCTTTCCCCCTCCCCCCGACCCTTAGTATCTCTCTCTGGTGCCCCAGGCAGGTCTGACTCTCCGATGCCACCTGCCGCTTACATCCACAGAGGCAGCAGACACACCAGGCGGTAGGGTAATCCAGTGTGTCCCGGTAAGCAGTCCCTTCCCCACCCCTATCCTCAAGGTTCCAGGAAGCTGACATTCTAGAGCCGGCATGCGGCCCCCTGAGGCCATTTATCCGGCCCCCCGCCGCACTTCAGGAAGGGGCACCTCCTTCATTGGTGGTCAGTGAGAGGAGCACAGTATGTGGCGGCCCTCCAACGGTCTGAGGGACAGTGAACTGGCCCCCTGTGTAAAAAGTTTGGGGACGCCTGTTCTAGAGGCTTCTGCAGAAGTGCACTCACTCTTTTGGAGACAGCTGATGAGGCAGATCCCGTGGGTAAAACTCTGAAGTCAAGGACTTGTCAAATTCTTCTAGCGGGGCCTTTTGGCCAATTAATTTCACCAACCTTTAAGTGACAGGGATTAAGGGTAGAGGGCCCTTCTTCCTCCCTTCCCCTGGCCTCCCTCCTGTCACCAGCTTTCCTGCTCTTTAATTATTGAGGAGCTGCAGGGTTGGAAGTTCTCAGGTTTAAGGCGGCTGCAGAGGCACTGGTGGGGGCTGGGTTGCTTACCCAGCCTCTGCCCAGGAGCTGGAGAGCTGGAGCCAGGAAGGCTGGTGCCCAGGCCACGAAGGCCCGGCAATGGTGCATCTCTCCCCCCACAACATGCCTTTCCCTCGCCCTTGCCTCTCTCACTCCTCCAACTCCAGATCCTCTTGAGTAAAAATATTAGAGTACTGGAGAAAGAGAAACTTTCCCAGATAAGCTCACTTTGCAGTTAGTCAGCTCTCCTTCCCTTGTAAAGTTTTATTCATTTTTAAGAATCATGCAGCAATCCATAAATATTGCATTCTTGCTGTCCCCACTGTAGCGTGCCCACAAGTGTACCCCAGGGAGGGGTACACAGATGGCACAAGCAGTATACACATGCGCACACCAGGTGTGCAGACCAAAGCAAAGTGAGCAACCAGTGTGCCAGCCCCGGGTGGGCAGGATCCTAACTCCCCAGGTGAGACGCATTAGAGTGTGGGGGTCTGTGTCCAAGAGATGCCTCAGTAGGGGTGGAAACTCTTGTGGGATGGAACTAGACAGAGCAGGGCTCTGTGAGGAAGCCGGGGTCACACCACCTGAAGGCCATAGGGAGGGCACAGGCCGAGCGCAGCAGGAAGGAGCCCTGGGTCTCCAGAGTTATGCTGTGCCCTGTGGGAGAAGCCAGGCCCCTACCTCTTCTCTGTGGGCAAACTGTGGACGTGACTATGTGACTGTCTCCAGATGAAGGATGGGGGCAAAAGGGTTGACCACTGACCTGTCCTAATCAGGCTGACTGAGGACTAAACTCCTTGGATGGTGTATTTCTGCCGGCCAGACAGCTAAATGACAGCCAAGAGAAGGTGGGGGAGGGAGGAAGAGAAGAAATTGGAACTGAGAAACAAGTAAAGGACATTGCTAACCTAGGTATGCTGTGGACGTGGAACTGAGGCCTTGAGGAATCTTTCTGCACCTCTCTGTAGGAGAGGACTGAGCACTCGCTGTGAGGAAGGACACCTCCAGGAAGGGGGTCCTGGCCACTGCAGCTACTGTTTAACTGAATCTCCTTCATCTCAGCTCCTTCCTCCCTCCTCCCAGGTAACACCACACTGTGAATACTACCTGCAGGGGACAGGACGGGAGGTGGTCTGTGTGCCACCACTATCCCTGCTGCTTCTGGGCTCATGTTTCAGGGAAATCAGGAAGTGGGGTTATTGCTCAGCTTATGCATCTTAACTATGAAAGGGGCTGGAAGAATGTCGGGGGAAGGAAAGGACATTAAGGTGGGGACTGAAATGGCAGTCTACTGTAGTATTTCAGAGAGGGTGGACAACCGGCTCCCCTCATCAGGGCAGGATGTGAGCCACAACCACTAGGCAGTGTGACAGTCACCACGCTCCTGGCCTCTGCAGCCACACAGGAGCAAAGGACCCCCTGGGCACCAGGCTCTTTTTGAGGCTATTGGGCCTGGAAACAGCCTTGAAAAGCTTTTTTAGGGTAACAATTCCAAACCCTAAGACAAGTCCACCACAACGGACCCCAGCTCCATCTGAATATCTCAACCTCACAAATAATAGTTGTTTCTAGCTTTGCTTTCCAAATACTCTCATGCCCTACTAAAGAAACATCTTTCCAAAGGCCAATAGACAACACATGTAAGAGCCACATGGAATTCACCAAGACGCAAGTGCTGAGGAAGCGGGGCAGCCACCACCTCACAGTCCAGACGTGCTGTTTTGGCTCTTGTATTTGTGCCCTTGCACTGGGCTGGGGCGGGGAGGGCACATGAACAGAACACGATCTCTGAACTGCCAATCAGCATGTGACTGGCCCCATCTCCCCACTTACTAACTAGGCTCAGCAGCTCTGGAAGGCAAGGGAGGAACACGTGGAGGATGGACGGGGCCCCTGAGGTGAAGGCCCTGAGCCCTGACTCCAGCCTCTGCTCCCTGAGCCCTGACTCCAGCCTCTGCTCCCTGAGCCCTGACTCCAGCCTCTGCTCCCGGCTCACTGCTGGCTGCATGCTGCTGCCTGAACTTCGCTCAAACCTCTCCACCACCTCCTGTGGGGACCTGGGTACCAAACTGAGAATCACTGGTCCACATGTCCACCATTAACAAAAGGGGACAGAGATGGGGGCAACAGGGACAAGAATGCCACCTCCTGGGTGAGTGGGGCTGAATTATGATGTAACATGTGACTGCTCCTCACCCAGTACTTGGTACGTAGAGAGGTCAACACGTGTTTCTTGGAATGTCATCTTGGGATAGAGTCCTCGGCCTCCCTGAATGCACCTGATCAGGAGAAATGCTCTTTATGGGGAATCATCTTAACTGGGGGATTCTCAGATTCAAGGGCTCCTTCGTAAGCAGGCCCAGGAGACTGGCTCTGCTCCCAGAGGGAAGGATTGTTTCTTTCAATCAACTTTTGGCTGCTACCATTTCTTGTCCTTGAGAAAGGCACTCCTGGTGCCTGTGGAAGGAAAGGCCACATGCGTGCAGTATGGCTCTCCTTTCCACAGGAGCCGTCCTCCAGCCCCACCCCAAACTTCAGGATTTCAATTGCTTATGGTGTGCCAGAGACCAGGAAATGCCAGAGGGATGTTTATAACAAAGCTGCCAAAACTCTAAGCCTTCTTGTCCTACCCCCTAAGGAGAAAAAAGATGCATAAGAAACAACTAGCCCATGGACCCCAGCTCCATCTGAATGCCGATACCATGGGGACATTCCAGAGTCCCTGCAAAGGGTCTCATGAGCTGCAGTTCTTTGAGTGGCTTTAGGCCACAGGGAGAAAGGAGGGCTCCAGTCTCCTCTTAGAGGTGAAGGATTGCGGTTACAGGTTGTATGAGCTGTCTTGTCACAGGAGGGTGAAAAGTCCAGCCTCTTGCTGAGGATGCCCAGGAGGCAGCAGCCGAGTGATGATGGATGGAATGCAGGGGCAGGAGGGGAGCCCAAGTGCAGGGGCTGGGGCTCAGACAGCCAAAGGGCCCCACACACAAGGCCTCGTCTCAGAGTCCTCCAGGCTGCTGGATGACAAGCGCCGGCGCTGGGTGTTACATCGACTGATGGCATTGTCATCAGCCTGCCAGGTACCTGGGGAAGAGAAAATGAACATTACAGGGGCCAAAGCTTTGACCAGGTCCAGGTGGTGTCTCCAGCAGGGCAGCCCAGGAGTCAGCATGGAAGGAGCAGGACAAGTGTCACCTGAGACCCCTGTGAGGGCGCGAGCCACAGCACACGTGCGCGAGAACAGAGAGAAGCAGGTGCAGACAGGTGCAGGGGCTGCTCCTGCCCCCTGGGCTAGGTACAGTCACTGCCACTGTGGCCCCCGGACAGGGAGGATGCTCCTTGTTTTGTGAACTTACCCTAGGACCCACTTTAGTATTTTAAGTTCTTGGTTTGAAAGTTGGCCTATATGTTACAATAGACAGGAAAAGGAAATTGGGCCTCACTGAGCTATTTTCATCAGGGCAGGAAGAGTTGGGGGGAAGTGAGAAGATTATGTTCGTTCTGGCCCAAAGTGTTAATGTTTTCTGCAGGGGCCAAGGTGGAGCAGGAAAGGACTGGCCACCCAGCAGGGTTCCCGGGACGGGACGGAAGGCCGCATGGAGGGAGGACAGTGTGGGGCCCCAGCCCCCCTCACCTGCCACTTTCCTCTCCTCCTGCACTGCGCAGCTGTTGAGCTTTGCTACTAGCTGGTGCCGTCAGCCCAGCAGACACCAGCCTGAGAGCCTCGGGGTCCCACAGGTACCACTGAATGCATCCTCTCCCCTAAATCTGCGGCGGCCCCCATGTGAGGAGTGCCAGCGCCTGTCTGGAAACCCATTCTTGGTGCTTCTCTTTCCTCTGTGCTCTGCATCCAATCCTCCACAAGCTCCTATGGGCTCACTGCTAGCCGTGTTGTGACGCCATCTGTAGTCACACTAACTGGGCTTCACTTCCAGTTTACAACAGTGTGATCTTGGGCACATCAATTTACTGAGGGCCTTGGTTTTCTCATCCATCAGATGGGAGATGAGTACTGACCTCACAGGCTTGCTGTGAAGACTAGAGAACACAAGTGCTGGTGAGAGAATCTGACTCCTAAAACAGCCTGTGCTCACGCCCCTGCAGGCCACCCCGCCTGTCCCCTGGGTGTCCTCTTCATCTCCTGCCCACAGGTGAGCTGGCTCCCTCCAGTGCCCTCCCTCCAGGAAGGCTAGGACGCTCCTGCCTTGGGCCTTGGCCGCCTCTGCTCTCAGGGCCTCCTGGCATCCTGGAAAGGCATGTCGTCCTCTGGACCCTGTGGGCTTCCCAAGCCATGTCTCCCAGTTCCCTCCCGTCATGAGGCACCTCTGGCCAGGTGAGGCCAGTGTGCTTCTAAGTGCTCCCTGCAGCCTGAACTACAGCGCCATGCACGCCTCACATGGCGGAAACCGCTGAGTCCCGGAGCTCCTCCGTGGGCAGGGGCCATGACTTTTCCACTGCTGTGGTCCAGAGCCCAGCAGGACACCCGACCCACAGGAGGACCTGTTTAGTGGACAAGGCTGACCAACTGTAGAGTGTGGCCATAAGGTTGAGAGAGGACACTCCCAAGTGTCCTGAGTCAGCCTCAGGCCAGACCAGGACATGAAGCGCTTTAACCCACGTGGAGTCAGCAGGTATAAATGGCTCAATTCCCGTCAATGCCTTAGCATGCTAATCACCCTCAGGCTCTAACAACAGTCTCTGGTGCTGGACCCCAGGGGAAGAGTGAGAACTGGAGAGTCTTGGATCTTCTCACATCCAAACTGAGTTTGGGATCTTGACTCCCTGGGGGTGTGTACTGGAGCCTGGGACGAGTCAAGGTGTTTTTTCACCCCTAGTGGTGGCACTGTGTGTCTAAATGTGGCAGGATGAATATAAGGCTGTTGATATTGCCTTTAAAGTGAGAAACCCAAAATAAAATGAGCTGCTTGTTCATTGATATAATTTGGTAGATCTCATACCTATTCCTCAATGTTTATGGGGCAGGACTCCGGAGCTGCGGCTGTTCAGTAGGAAAGACCAAAAGCAAATGGTAAACAAGAGAGAAGACACACATGCATGCACAAATAAAAACAGCAGCACCGCCACCGCCGCCACCACCGCCACCGCCACCACCAGCAAGCTATAAAACGCTGGGCCTGAGGAGCTGCCCAGAGAGCCGCCCTGACACTGAATTCACAGGAGTCCTTGCAACAAACGCCACCCTTCTAATCTGGAAGCATAAGCCAGGGCAGAGCATCAGTTACTTGCGGAAGACTCAAGAATCAGATCTGAAGTGTCTCCCGGCCTCTTGGTATGCTCTATGGTGAGGGAGATTCAGCAGCAAGAGGAGGGTGCCTTCCCACTGGCCAGGACCCTGAGGGGCCCACGGCAAAGCCCTGCTGCTGCTCTCTCCTCAGCCTCATTCCCACGACGAGCCCGGCTGTGGAAAGCCAGTCTGGGCGCTGAGGGACCTTCCCGAGCCGGTGCCGCCGTTTTGTCTGGCTGAATCCAGGCCCCTCCAGCCAGAAAATGGAGTGTGGAGATTTAAAGTCCTTCGAGGGAAATGGGTAAGGGTGCTTTCCATTCCCTTCTCATTTTGGAGAGTCAGAAATGGGAGTATGAAGAGACCTCTAGAGGTAGATTTTGGGAGCACATTCAGGAAAATTTCACAAGCCCCTTTCAAGAGCTCAATGGTCTTTGCTGAGTTTCTCTCCAGGGGAAGGAAAAACTGGTTTGAATTTTTCCTTAGTGCTCACAAAGTGCAAACTTTGCTAGTAGCATTTTAGTCTTGGGTTCTGAGGCTTCTCAAAAAGCAGAGAGAATTGAATTTGGTCTCCATGAGCCTTTTTTTTTTTTTTTTTTGAGACGGAGTTTCGCTCTTGTTACCCAGGCTGGGGTGCAGTGGTGCGATCTTGGCTCACCGCAACCTCTGCCTCCCGGGTTCAGGCAATTCTCCTGCCTCAGCCTCCTGCGTAGCTGGGATTACAGGCACGCGCCACCATGCCCAGCTGATTTTTTGTATTTTTAGTAGAGGCGGGGTTTCACCATGTTGACCAGGATGGTCTCGATCTCTTGACCTCGTGATCCACCCGCCTCGGCCTCCCAAAGTGCTGGGATTACAGGCTTGAGCCACCGCGCCCGGCCCTCCATGAGCCTTTTTAGATTTCACTGGACATGCTCATTTCCCGCAATGCAATAATTTAAAAAGTATATTTGTATCTCTACTAAAAAGACCAAAATTATCTTTGCCTTTTTTTTTTTTTGAAGACAGTCTCACTCTGTCTCCCAGGCTGGAGTGCAGTGGTGTGATCTTGACTCACCACAAACTCCGTGTCCCAGGCTCAATCGATCCTCCCACCTCAGCCTCTTGAGTAGCTGGGACTACAGGTGTACGCCACCAAGCCTGGTTAATTGTTGTGTTTTCTATAGAGACAGGGTTTCACTCTGTTGCCCAGGCTGGTCTCCAGCTCCTGAGCTCAAGTGATCACCCACCTCGGCCTCCCAAAGTGCTGGGATTACAGGTGTGAGCCACTGCGCCTGGCCTATCTTTGCCTTTTTTCCATCACTGACTACCCCAGAGCCTTCACAGAGCTATCACCTGCCGCTACGACTATCCTGCCACCTGTGTAACAGTCCACTAAACTCCTTGGAGCCACATATACTTAGCGTGGTCTTGCAGTTCTAGTCTTAGTACCACCCGTCACACCCGTCAACTGAGATCTTCCCCTTTATTTCTTTCAGAAGCAATCTCAGAACACACCACTCCCCAGTGAAAAACCAAAAATCCACCCTTGGTCCTGGGGCCCAGGAAGACCCAAAAGCTTCTTAGGGGGAGAGGGGCTGGAAGGACAAAAGTTGCCTCTAAGCCCCTCACCAGTGTGACCAGAGTGGTGAGGATGGGAACCAGCAAGGTTCTCAGTCCTTGCCACCGGCTGGGTCTCCTGGCAGAGGCTGTGAGCATGGTGCAGGGCACGGGGAGAGCATGGGAGCCACCCTGGGCTCCATTTCCCACTGGCTCTCTACGAAGGGAGTGGTACCCGCTTGAAGAGGGAAACACACTCAAGCAGAGTCCAGGCACACGTGCAGCTGTCCTGACAGGGAGAGAGCTGGCTGCAGGAGCAGTGAGGTGCTACGACAGCCAGTGGTGTCTCGGTCCTGGGATAGAAAGTTGAACTTACAGCTGAGTGTGAAGAGGTCTGTTTATTCCGTGGGACCTATCAACCAAAGTAGTTATTCCTGTGTGTAACCTACCAGATACTTCCAGAGACTTCTCCAGCACTTTTGCTCCCAGTGATGCTACCAGCAGAACCAGAGACACACTTTGCCTAGAGAGATGTGCTTTTCCCTCTCAAGTAAAAGGGGAACCAGAGGTTTTGAGATATCACTGTCACCCAACTACTGACTGAGGATGCCAATTAAAAACAAATCCTGGCTGGGCATGATGGCTCATGCCTGTAATCCCAGCACTTTAGGAGGCCAAGGCAGGCAAATCATGAGGTCAGGAGTTTGAAGCTACCTTGACCAACATGGTGAAACCCCGTCTCTATTAAAAATACAAAAATTAGGCTGGGCGCGGTGGCTCAAGCCTGTAATCCCAGCACTTTGGGAGGCCGAGGCGGGTGGATCATGAGGTCGAGAGATCGAGGCCATCCTGGTCAACATGGTGAAACCCCGTCTCTACTAAAAGTGCAAAAAATTAGCTGGGCATGGTGGCACGTGCCTGTAATTCCAGCTACTCAGGAGGCTGAGGCAGGAGAATTGCCTGAACCCAGGAGGCAGAGGTTGCGGTGAGCTGAGATCGCGCCATTGCACTCCAGCCTGGGTAACAAGGGCGAAACTCCGTCTCAAAAAAAAAAAAAACAAAAAAAAACAACAACAAAAATTAGACGTGCATGGTGGCACACACCTGTAATCCCAGCTACTCAGGAGACAGAGGCAGGATAATCGCTTGAACCCAGGAGGCGGAGGTGGCAGTGAGCCAAAACTATGCCACTGTACTCCACCTGGGCTACAGAGTGAGACTCCATCTCAAAAAAAAAAAAAAAACAAAACAAACAAAACCAAATCCTTTTCATAGTCTTTGCCACAGAAGCATTCCCATTTTTGTTGAACAGAAATTAATAGTCTCACACATTTTTTTTCTTTCTTAGAAAATCTTAGTATATTGAATACAGGCCCTCATCCTGAGGCCTCTGGTGAGGCTATAATGGGACACTTACAGTGCTGTACCCAAGGCCCTCTTCTGAGAGCCATCATAGGCATTTGATTTCATGTTTGGCCCCAACTGTGAACCCACCATAATCTCTAAACAGCTGCCTCCACGAGTCACCCTAAGGAACCTCAGAGCTGCTCTCTTCCTCCCAGTCCTTGCTCTCCTCCCGCAATCCTGTAAGTGGAGTAACTATCACCAAGCAGGTCAGTCGAGGGGAGTCAGGAAGACGAGGAAGCAGAGGAATACACTGAGTTTCCACCAGCACTGTTGGCTAAAACAACTCCAGCAGCTCCCTCTGCCAAAAAATTAGGGGTGGGTAAGGGAGCCCCTTGAGGGAGGTGGGAAGCTAAATTTCCCTCCTAAAGCCCAGTAAGAGGGTGGCCAGGGTAGAGCTGCCTCAGACACAGGGCAGAGCTAAGGCAGAGACGCCATCTTCACCCAGCTATGGACGGGGATGCCAATCAACCAAATCCTTTCCATAGCCCTGGCCACAGAAGCATTCCCATTTTCATAGAACAGAAATTAATACAGTCTCACAAATACTTTTTCTTGGAAGATCTTAGTACACTGAATACAGGCCCTCACCAATCAGGAATGGGAGCCTTGCTTACAGCCCCAAGCGACCACCTCCCAGGTGTGTGTGTGGCCAGCAAGCTTGGATGGGGTGAAGCACTGGCAGGGAGGACAGTGCTGGCACGGAGTGAACATGAACTTTCATACCAAGTCTAGAGAACGTACAGGAGTTTAGAAAATAAACAAACCAGACAGACAAATATACATTTGGCAACATGATGTGAAACACAAATGGACAGATGGAAGCCAGGCCAGGAGTGGGACGGCAGGGAGTGATGCAGCCCCTGGGCCCCAGCAGCTCCAGTCCAGGCCAAACTGGCAGGAGGCCGGCCCCACGGTCAACACTCCCTCCTCCATGCTCAGGCAGGAAGGGGGTCTTCCCTGGGCCTGTGCAGGAGAAGCAGGGGAACCAATACTGCCTCTTTCGGTCTCACTGAATATGAAGAGGCCTGGGCAGAGTCTTTAGGACAAACTAAATAGAAAATGACTCAAGAAAGTCCTTTGTAAGGCTGGAGAAAGTGTCTCTAGAGAATTCCAGCTTCCCCTACCACAAGCTTGTGTGGGGCCAGAGCATGCTGGGGCTGTGCCTTGCACAGGCTGATGGAGAGTGGCAACCACAGAGGTCGTGTGGCTCCAACGCCTCCAGCCACGTCGCTGAGCGAGTAAAGCACTGGACCCGTGATGTGGCTGTTCTGAAGCTGACATGAGTCTTCATTCAGGGAATGTTTAAGAGGATTCAAACAACACAATGTGAAGGACAATCTGTGGCGTGAAACCCGGAGGGGACATTTGACTGAGTTCACTTGGGCAAGATGTGGATTTTAGAAAAGCAGTTTTTAGAGCCCTTGAATGGGCACATTAAAAAGGCAGTCGGTGTGCAAAGTGTGATGAACACGATTCTGTGTAAGACACTACCTAGATTCGGTTTAGTGTCACGAAGAGGAATAAGGGCACACTGACAACCTGATCACCTGTGAAGCTGCAGCTCCAGGGAGCATAGTGAAGCCCTAACTTGACCTCTCTTTTGGATCTGAATCCAGTATACAATGCAACTGGTAACCCAAAGCTCACTGGATCAATTAGAATCATTCCTTCGCCTTTAAAATGCTTGCTTTTAGATGCCTCTCTGATCCTAGCTGAAACACATTTCTTCTGAGGAGCTACGGCTTCACTTTAAAAGGGCTGAGGCAGTCCTTCCAAGACCTTCATAGAGAGGTGGTATCTCTCTGCTCAAACTTCCTGTCAATGAAGACAAGACCAGGCCACCTGACATGATAGCTGCCAGGCCATGAGATGGAGTGGGGCGTGTTCAGGCCAAATTGTACGTTCTGCTTCTTTCTTCCTGTCCTAACATTCTCACTCAGAGCAAGGATGGCTCATTGCAAAAAGCTCAGGGACTCTCCCAGGCCTTCTTACTTCCTTTCAGCAACTGTTCTCCAGCCCTAGCACACCCCAGGCCTTCTTGCCAGGAACTGCAGGGCAGGAGATGGGTGTACCAGGGTGAGAGCAGGGGTAAGAGCACAGGGATCGTCTCCCACCAAGTTCATGTTCAGCAGACTGCCACTCACCAGGTAAGCAGACCTCAGAGCACAGCTTATTGTCCAGTGCTTTCACGCTTGAGATGTCAAAGTCATTGTTATTGTCACACTCCATACCTAGAAATGCGCATGTCCTCTGGCCTGTAACGGAGTTAATGCAGTTAGAGAGGGGCTGGCTGTGTTTTTCTCTGCTTTGCTGTCCTTCAAATAAAAATCTTAAGGATGGAGACAAAAACCAAATCAAATCATATGTTTAAAAAAGACAGTAATTAAGTGGGTAAAGAGTGGACAAGAAAGGAGTCACGCTGCATGGGCATGTCTGTGTTCTCACGCTATCCTGCTGCTTCCCTAGAGCCCGTTCCACCTGCTGTTCCCTAACGAGTCAGATTGCTGAGGAGGGCTGTGGGACACAGGCTCGACAGAGAACACTGGAGCGAGCAGAGCTGGGCAGAGGCCAGGCCGGTGAGGCTGCGACCGCCCGGCAGAAGCTAGGGAGAGCCAGTGGGGAGGTCAACCTGCTCATGCCTGTGTCTGCCTCGGATGCGAGCTGGGTGCGTTTATGGCCACAGGGCTCTGCAAAATAAGTACATGAAACAACAACTAAAGGTCTTCGTGTCCATAATTTTGCAGATCAAATCAGAATGACTACATTCACAAAATTATGATTTCCTTTTGTATGAGACCTGAGTTGTTATTTTCAGTGTTTTAAGTGACCAGAAATCTACAGACATGTAAGAAGGGAAGGGAAAAGTTTTAAAAGGTGTTCTGTTTTTTTTTTAATCAAGTTCCCCTCTTTTTTTCCTCGTGAAACAGAGAGAAGAAAACAAATCCATTCCATGGGCTAGGGAATGTCAGGTGAAACAACCTGGCCACACCGCACTTCTTAGAAGCAGATATTCCATAACAGAAACCATCACAAGGGGTAACTCTGAGCACTGAAGTCATCAGCTGAGTTAGTGACACTCCAAATCCCCTTGGGCTGGGGTGCAAGAGCTGACAGAGGCAGCCTTGGCGGCCACCTTCTCTTTCAGGCTCCTTGGCCAGGCAGGAGCTGTCAGGTCCACATGCACACCTTCAACACTCCCCAAGCGATGGCCAGCGCTGAAGCAGAAGCAATAGGATGACATCTGCTGGTGCGTCTGCATCCAGGCCGGGGCACTGTGTGCTCTGGAGGTGCCCCCGCGGGAGGTGCTTCAGAGCAGCAGGGGGAAGCGTCTGGCTCCTGGAACACATGGTGTTCCCCCAGGGGAAACTTTCCCACCTCCCTTCTTCCTCCTAGGTGCTTGCTCTGTGGGCCATTCCTTCTCTTTTAGCCTTATTAGAAATAATATTTTTCCAACTGAAGATGTAACTGAAGCCTGAATTATGGTACAGGAAAATCATTACAACAGCCTTTAAAATGCTTTCCTAAGCTGAGCTGCTGAAGAAACTTGGACCTGTTTCCTTGACCACGCCTTTAATGTGTCTGCTGGCTCCTGGGAGTCCTCTTTTACAATAACGTCCGCCATTTTCCTAACTAAAGCAATACCTGACCAGCTGCCAAATAGTCCTCCCCTTTCCCCAAGTGGAAGAAATGGCTACTGCTGTTCAACACTGAGACTGCCAGAGCAGCTCTGTGGGGTTGCACTGAAAACCTGCAGCAGAGAGGCCGGCGATGGGAGCTACTCAGAGCGCTTCCGAATCTACTTGAGGTAAATATGTACCTGCGTGTATCTCCTGCAGCACCCGCACCTGACATCCTTGGCTCTGGGGCCCAGAAAGAGCTGAGGAGGTCACAGAGGTCATCAGTGCCCTGCTTGCTTTGATACACTATTAAGAAGACAGCTGTTCCTCTAACAGCCATACAACTGAACAGTGCCACCAAGTCTTACTGGTACCCTTTTCTTTATCCCTTAAAGAATACCCAGGAAGGAAAGATAATAAAAGGAAATAAAGGACCAGATCTTTTACCATCTTCCTGTGTGGGTGATCCATCCTCTTCCTCTGTAACATCATTTCCCTAGGATAGAAGGAAGGCCTTGTGAGTCTATAAAGCAGGAAAATGAGTCGACTGATTGGCTGACGACAGAACTAATCATCTTAATGGTATCTAACTCCAGGGCCTACGTTACTAGCATATATTTTCATCCGTGTTTGATATGCCTGAGAGGCTGACTAGAGGCAGATCTTGCTTGGTGAGGCACCATCTGCCTACAGGGATTAGATCTGAGCCACATTACCCATACATATAGGCTCAGAATGGTCTGTCAGGAACAGCCTTGTTAATAGCTTAGCTGATACTGTTTTTCTAAGGTGGAGGTAAAAGTTACTAAATGAAAGAGCAAATTGTGAGATCATAAAACTTTAAGAAATCTCTTAAGATCCCACACCCTATCCAGATACTCCACTGAGAGTAGTTGGCTCAAGAAGAGTTGTAGATCTCTCACTGTGAGCCGGCGTTCCACAGCACACCACGGTCAGGGCACATCTCACACTGAACTGTGGTCCTGTCTGCCTGCTGGACAGGGCTCCTAGATAGGTCCAGTGGGCTGGGGGTAGGCAGAAACATCACCACACAGTTCTGTATAGGTCTGTATGCACCCCAGTGCCAGTGAGCACGTGGGACACAGTCTCCCATGTAGATACTAGTGGAATGAAGAACAATACATTCTCAAGGCCAGGGGCTGGCAAGAAAAGTTCTTTCTTGAACTCACTCCACACCAGTGACCCTGAGAACCAGCGGCCCCACTCACTGGACAGCCCACAGACCCCGGTGCGGCTGCTCTCATCTCTATCCACATTCCACTTGTGACTGATATAGGCATGTCCCCAGAAAGGCTTTGTCAGCACAGCCTCCCGGCCCTGGTCCTTATTGACATCCCCAGCCAAGGCCAGCACTCCTCTGGCTGTGGGAAGGGGCACACTTCGTGCTGCTGGGGTTACCTCTGCATCCTGCTCTCCAGCTGGGAGGCCAGCAAAGCTGCTGTCTGGAGACTCCGCTGGCAGCCCCTGCAGAAGAACACAGTTTTTACAGGTCTCCCATCAAGCTCCTGACAGCAAACCCAAACCTTGTTCAGTACAAAATTGGTGTCAAAGCCGGGCGCAGTGGCCTCGTTTTCTGCAGCACTTTCGGGGGCTTCGCTGCCATGCCTGGCAGCTCTTTGGTTATGCTACTTTGGACATGTGTGCAAAGTACAGAGAAGCCAGGGCAGTTCCCATCCTTTCCCTTACCTCTCCTTCTTCTGAGGGGGCCCTGCTGGCAGCCCGGGGGGAAGGGACAGCCTCTCCCTCCTCTTCAGTGCCAGGGGCAATGTAGGAGCCAGACATGGAGGAGACGGTGTCGGTGCTGATCTGGGAGGATGCCATGGACATGACAGACTGGGCCAGGCTGCTGCTGGTGCTGGCAGGGCCTTTGGAGACAGGGGATGGAGGAGGAGCCTAGAGGTCAGGCAGGGCTTCTGCAAGCTTTCCGGGGAGCAGAGCCCTCTCCCTACACTCAGGCAGTAAGGAGTGAAACGGCCTCCCCTAAAAGTGGTTTTAGGTTTAAGGTTTTCCAAAATTCTGCTCCTTTATATTTTAGAGCTCAGAACTCAGCCTCGGGGACGAGACAGTTGCTTTTCCCTGTCATAATGCTAAAGGAAACCTCATGGCAGCAGGACTGAGGCTGAGAGGACCGACACCTGCTAGCTACAGGCAAGCGCGCTAACCCACGGTAGGCAAGCAAGTCCTCTTCCCTCTCAAGCCAGGGCCTACCTGTCATGCCGCCCGGGTATTAGCTTGCCACTCCCATGTCCCTTCCCGGAGGAAACACCAGGATGCTGTGGCTGGGTAAGGGGCAAGGACATGCAGCCGCTCCCCGCTCCTCATGTACCTTCTGGGGAGGAAATAGTGGACGACAGAGGCGTCCCTGTGCAAGACGACTGGTCAATAGCTCCAGATGATGACAAGGTGAGGTTCTCACTTTCTGGAGACACACCACATTCCTGGGGGGTGTGGGGGACACAACAGGACATGGAGCAAGCGCCAGTCACCTGTGCTGGAGGAAGGGGTCGGGGCGGAGGTCTGGGTGGAGATGAGGAGGAAAGGGGACACTGGGAGGGGCTGAGTGGCATGCAGAGGCCGCAGCGTCTCTCTTCCGTCCTCACTTCTCAGCCCAAGCCTGGAATGACTGCCTCCCAGGGGAGGCGCGCACTTCAGTCAGCACCTCCTGCCCAAGGCACAGCATCTGCTGGGGCCATACAAAGACTGCGGCTCGGGTGACACAGGTCACCCAGCAGCTGTGACATGGGGACACCCCAGGTTTCCCCAGGATTATGATCAGCTTACCTTCTGAGGCAAAAGCATACAAAGCCAGCAGACGCCTCCCTGCCTGCAGGGTATCTTCACACGGAGCACAGTTAACCCCTGCTCAGCTGATTTCTGATACAAACACCACCTTGCTCCCAGCCTGCTGCTCCTCCCACGCCCCCGCCTCCAATCCCAGCCCCCACCTGCCAGGCATCTGGACGCACAGCCTGACCCATCTGAGGCAGATGCAAAGTTCTTCGGACTGTGTCTCCAAAATCCCTTCCCTTCCCTCCAGGCACTTCTCTTTTGTCTTAGTTCAGGCGGTCCTTCTTGCCTTGGCTACTGGTGCCCTTTCCTGGCTGAGTCTGTCTCCTGTCTAGTCCAGAGTACACACTGCAGTCGGGTGGGCCTTTGGGAAGCGAAGCGCTCACCATGTCCCTGGCCTGCTCTGAGCCTCGACTTCCTGCTCTGTGCCTTTGCATGCACCATCCTATCCACATGGATGTTTCTCTCACCTTTTTCTCCTTGTCTAAAAAACTTCAAGGTTCAGCTAAAATGCTACTCCTCCATAAAACACGTTCTGATCTCTTCCGCTGATCTCATCCATCTCTGACACAGACATTTATTGACTCTGTTTTGGGCACAATTCATTTCTATAAAATTTACTTAGTCATTTAACAAATACTTACTGAGCAACAACAACGTGCCAGGCACGTGCTATTCCCATGCATCTGTCCTATCCCGGCCAGACCTGAGCACTCATGGCCAGGGGACCACTTTACCTTCCTACGCCCTGCTCTATCTAGCTCAGTGCCCTACACAGAGCAGGTGTATAAACTTTTGTTAAACGAGGTCTATGTGGGACACACAAAGTAGACAATTCCAGCCTTCTTCTTCCATTCCTCAACAAAGGCCTCCCAGCAGCCCCCAATTAACCCCAGGGCTTTCCACTTGCTGTTCCCAACCTTACGGCCCTCTATCCTTCTATATCTGCATAGCTACTTCTTCCACTTCCCTTGGTCTTGGCTCCTGGACCACTTTTTTTTTTTTTTTTTTTTTTTTTTGAGACGGAGTTTCGCTCTTGTTACCCAGGCTGGAGTACAATGGCGTGATCTCGGCTCACCGCAACCTCCGCCTCCTGGGTTCAGGCAATTCTCCTGCCTCAGCCTCCTGAGTAGCTGGGATTACAGGCACGCGCCACCACGCCCAGCTAATTTTTTGTATTTTTAGTAGAGACGGGGTTTCACCATGTTGACCAGGATGGTCTCGATCTCTTGACCTCGTGATCCACCCGCCTCGGCCTCCCAAAGTGCTGGGATTACAGGCTTGAGCCACCGCGCCCGGCCGGACCACTTTTTAAGAATGGTAACTCCCACTTCCCGGCATGACACTCCCTTCTCTGTTGTGTGACATGCTGATCCACAGTACCACCTGGCACACGTGTATTTTTTTACTTATTGTCTTTTGTGTCCACCACCTCCATCCCAGCCAGCAAGAATATAAATGCTACGAGGGCAGGGACTTTTGCAGTTCCCCAGCTACTATCCTCAGCATACAGCACAGTACCTGGCAAATAATACAGGCGGCATACCCTGATGAATGCATGAATCTTCTGAAAGCTTTGCCACTGCCTCAGAGGGTGTTGAAAAGGTGTTTGATGAGTGAATGAGAGCAGAGGGACCTGATGACGCATGCAGGTAGGAGGAGAGTCCCTGGAGTACAACACCCAAGAAAAGGAGAGGAATGTCAATTACCTCTCCGAGATGCTGAGCTGACAGTCTCTGAGAGAGCTGTGTCTCCGACTCACTGCAGGAACGCTCATCTTCCTCTTCAGGCAGCACGGAAGAATTTTGGGAAATGGATCTGTAGGAGTCCAGAAGAAAAGCAGCTGTATCCAATGTCCATTTAAGAACAGTACTTACTGCGAGGAGAAGCTGAGGGGAAAACCCAAATCTTTTTTGTTTGCTTATTTTTTGAGACAGGGTCTCATTACGTTTCCCAGGCTGGACTTGGACTCCTGGACTTCAGCAATCCTTTTGGTGACGTTTTTTCATTTTTTTTTTTTTTTTTCTGAGACAGAGTCTCACTCTGTCACCCAGGCTGGAGTGCAATGGCGCGATCTCGGCTCACTGCAACCTCCGCCTCCCAGGTTCAAGTGATTCTCCTGCCTCAGCCTTCTTTTTTTTTTTTTTTTTTTTTTTTTTTGAGACGGAGTTTCGCTCTTGTTACCCAGGCTGGAGTGCAATGGCGCGATCTCGGCTCACCGCAACCTCCGCCTCCTGGGTTCAGGCAATTCTCCTGCCTCAGCCTCCTGAGTAGCTGGGATTACAGGCACGCACCACCATGCCCAGCTATTTTTTTTTGTATTTTTAGTAGAGACGGGGTTTCACCATGTTGACCAAGATGGTCTCGATCTCTTGACCTTGTGATCCACCCACCTCAGCCTCCCAAAGTGCTGGGATTACAGGCTTGAGCCACCGCGCCCGGCCTTAATTTTTGTATTTTTAGTAGAGATGGGGTTTCAACATTTTGGCCAGGCTGGTCTCGAACCCCTGACCTTGTGATCCACCCGCCTTGGCCTCCCAAAGTGTTGGGATTACAGGCGTGAGCCACTGTACCCGGCTTGTTGACGTTTTTAACAGAGGAGGAGTACAGCCTCCTGAGTAGTTGGGATTACAAGTGTGGGCCAACCTGCCTGGCTCAAAACCCAAATCTTAGGTAGAACTAGGGAGGTAGAAAAGAGAACCAGGGAGGGATGGAGACCTCTTTGGGGCATCAGAAGTACTAAGTTTTACCTTTAGCTCCTTTGATGACTTGCTATCTAAACTTGGGAAAAACCACTGCCATTTACAGGATCTCAACATTTTCGTCTGTAAAATGCCCTCCCCTTTACTCTGCCACAGAAAGCTTGTCATGATTTGTGCCTAGCTGGATTTAGATGTTTAAGATATATGGATCACAAGGTTCCTTCAGTCTTCGGACTAAGCAATGCTCCCAGGGGCCTGGATGGCCCCATCCACAGTGTTCAACGTCCTCTTTCCTATATCCCATCCCCTACCTTTGAAAAAAAAATACCTAAGAGATTTGTCTAATCAGAATTTTCCTAAGTACCTACATAGCATCTTATTTTCATCTCTAAAGGGATGGGATAACCTTCCCACAAGCAGCTCTTGGAACAGCCCAGAGGGTGACTCTGCCCTAAGGCCCCAGGATGTGAGCCAGCACCAAGGAGGGTTAAAGTGTCTCATCAAGGATTCCTGGGGCAATACTATGGAGCACTGGCTACTCACTTGGAGAGACTCTTCTTGAGTTTGAGTCCTTGGCTGCCACAGTCGGACAGGCGGTCAAGAGGGGAGATCGTCCTGACGGGGGGCAGGTGGCCATCACTACCATATGAAGGGAGCATTCCTGAGAGGTGGCCATCTCCAAGCACGTGAAGTGGAGGAACTGCTGGGGATGGGGTGAGGGGCCCATTGAGGGCCTCCAGAAGAGATACTACTTCATAGCCTGGTGGAATATTCTCTGAGGACTAGGGAAATCAAAGACAGGTTGAAAAATTAATTAGGTCCTTTTTGTTTTATGGCATGATCATGCTACTTACTCTACACCAAAAAAAATGTTTTTTTTTTTTATATCTGTTCTGGGACGGTCTGGTAAGAACAACTGTACTAGAGCAGAGATAAAATATCAAAGAACCACACATTGTAGATCCTGCTTATTGGTAAACCTTTTCTTAATAATCTCTATTTTTTTCTGATTATAATGGAAACATGTTAATTATAGGAAATTTGGAAAATACATACAAGTAGAAGTAAGGGGGAAAAAAATCACCGGTAATCAAATCACCCAAAGTTACTTTTGTTAGCATTCTGGTGTCTTTTCTTCCCATTTTTTTCTGTGTACTATTTACACAGTTTTGATCAATCTATAAATAATAATTTTATATTCTGCTTATTTTATTATACTTTCCTCTTTTTAAAAAAATAGAAGTGGGATCTCACTATGTTGCCCAGGCTGGTCTTGAACTCCTGGTCTCAAGCAATCCTCCTGCCTTGGCCTCCCAAAGTGCTAAGATAACGGATATGAGCCAACATGCTTGGCCAGAACTTAAGTATGTTCCTTTGTTTCTGAAGCCTCTTCATGTATGTCCGCTTCTCATGGATCCCCTAAGTTTTCTAACTATTCCAGTGGTGGTTATCTAATGTCTAACGCGTCCTATTGTAAACAAGTTTTGAGGAACATCCTTGAATGCCTTTTTTTCAAATTATCTTCTTGTTATTAAATTCTTAGCTCTTAGATGATGAAGCATAAATGTTTTTAAGACTCTTGATATATACTGCTGTTTTCTGCTGTTTTGTTTATTTCAGTGCCTTCTCTAGTTACACTCTTATAAGTAATATGGAAGACCTATTTTGACTACTTCCCTGATAGCAGGGAGAATCATTAAAAATAAAAGTTTTTAAACTTTGAAAGTTGGTAATGGTATTCTCATATTTGCATATCACTGATTTTTAATGTGGTTGAACTTAAAAAAAAAAACTCTATGTTGAGTATTTTTTGTTTATGCCCTTTGCCCATTTATCTACTGTTTCATTCAATATGAACTATGGCAAAGGCATCAGCTTTTCCTCTGATACATTGTAAATACTTTTTTTAAAAACACTATTTGTTGTTTACCTTTTAATTTTGGTCACCTTTTAGATCTCTGAAGTGATAAACTTTTTGGGTGACAAAATGTATGATTCTTGCTTTCAAGCTTAGACAATCCTTTCCAATCCAAAGTCAACTGAATAATCATCTATAATTTATTCTAGGTTTTGGATGTTTTGTTTGGTCTTCTGTAATGTTTGTTTGGTTTGATGCTTTTAATATAGTTAACTAGTTACTCCAGCTGGAATTTATTTGGTGAGGAGTAAAGTGCTAAACTGATTTTTCCTTCTGAAATAGCTAACTAATTATCCCAGTATCATTCACTGAATAATGATCTCTCCCACCAGTGGGTTAATCTAAAGAAAGCAGTATCTGCCATTCTTTAACTGCAAAGCTTTGAGGTTTCACCCTAGTATCAGCACTTACACTGGGACACTGAGGTCAGTTTATCTCAGTCACTGAGGCCGCAAAACAGGCTAAAGAAAAACAGTTACTTTCTTCAAGAGTTCAAATAAAGATAATAAATTGTATTCAAATCCAAAACAATCGTCCCATTATTTCTGCCTGGGGGAGTTTGAGATGAACCTCACTGGAGTGAAACTGCAAATAGATGGCTCTAGGAATGGTAAACATTAACTGGATACCAAGTTCCCAAGGAGGAAAAGGGAGGTTTTCATGACCAGTACTCAAATTTTCCACAGTAATAACAGTTGGTTTTAATGCAAGCTCTCAGCCGCCCTGCTAAATACTGCAGCATGCCCAGGTCTGATTCCTTGCTGAAGTGCCATGTAGAGAAGCATGAACGGTTTAAAAAAGCCAATGAGGCTTCTGCTTCAGAGGGGCTGTGGTTCTGAGCCCAACTTACTGAATGCTCTTCCGAGTCAGATGTCTGGGATGAGATGATGGGGTTAAAGCTGGTTGGGGACAATGGGCCCAATTTTTTCCTCATGGCTCGGATCTGAAGCAGTGCCCGGAAGGCTGTGAAGAAGAAAACAGGCAATCAGGACATCCTGATGCAGGATTAAGGATGAACAAGAGCCCAGACAGAAACCATGATCCCTCCTAGCGCGCATCTGTTTGCCCGATCCAGCAGCAGCACGTGCTTCGGTGTTTTGTAAATGTCCTCGTCCTCTCTCCCACCCACCAGTCCCCCTGCCCCTCTTGGGCTTACGCAGTCGGCAGATGGGGCAGTTGTTGGCCTGGTAGCGCAGGGTGTCTGCACAGGTGTTACAGAGGCAGAGGTGGCGACAGGGCAGAATCAAGGTGTCCCGGACATCCGAGAGACACACCACACACTCGGCACTGTTATCACTCACTTCGTCTTCAGCCACCTGGCCGAGGAGAAAGAAATTTAGCCGATGGCACAAAGCCCTTCCTGTCCCATACTTTATTGACAAGGCAGCTTGTCTGAAGAGCTAAGATAAGTAATAAGAACAAAATCTGAATTGACACTGGACTTTGTTGTTTGCCCAGCGCGTCCACGCACTTAGCTTCACTGCTTCTGGGAAGTGTTTATCTAAAGTCAAGAGGATGAGACTAACCACTCGAGCTCCTCCGATGAGGCTCAGAGCTGGGCCTCTTGAGTCTCAGCTGAAGGGACCTAAGGGAGCAGACAGATAAAGGAAAAGGAGCAGCAAAAGGACCCTGGTAGGAGACCAAGTTGGACAGAGCTCTGTGGCAGAACAAAGCCAAACCAGCCTGCTTTTCTCATTTCCAAAGGGGTACAAGCATAATGATCTGAAATGAAGAACAAGAAAATATCCTTCTAAGACCTTACTGATTTCAGAGTTTGGCACGCTAAATTCCTAGACGGTGGCTTTATAAGATAATTTCTCTGTTGGTCTCCTGGAAAGAGTACATTCAGAATTTTGGATAAAACTTACTTTAGAATCTTGTGTGTTGTACTTGTTTTCAATTCCATAGATCTCCTGAAGGAGGTAGCTGACCCCGTCTACCTGAACAGCAAACAGAAAGGTTCAAGGATAGGCTGACTCTACTGAGAGACAAGAGTGGGAACTCCCTCCCACTTTACCTCTTTTGGTAACCGAGGACTACCAATTCATTAAAAAAAAAAAAAAAAAAAAAAAGGCCGGGCGCGGTGGCTCAAGCCTGTAATCCCAGCACTTTGGGAGGCTGAGGCGGGTGGATCATGAGGTCGAGAGATCGAGACCATCCTGGTCAACATGGTGAAACCCCGTCTCTACTAAAAATACAAAAAATTAGCTGGGCATGGTGGCGCGTGCCTGTAATCCCAGCTACTCAGGAGGCTGAGGCAGGAGAATTGCCTGAGCCCAGGAGGCGGAGGTTGCGGTGAGCCGAGATCGCGCCATTGCACTCCAGCCTGGGTAACAAGAGCGAAACTCCGTCTCAAAAAAAAAACAAACAAACAAACAAAAAAAAACTCAAAGGCCTAGACAAGTAAAGGATGCTTTTATTTACTTATGTTTTCTCTTTGAGAGAAGAAAGAAAATCAAATATTTAATTTACTCATCATTATATACAACAGGGAACATAAAATTTCATAAATACAATAACAATACTTGCACTAGAGCTTACTATTATGGACAATTAAGAAGGCATAGACTGCCGAGCACGGTGGCTCAAGCCTGTAATCCCAGCACTTTGGGAGGCCGAGGCGGGTGGATCACAAGGTCAAGAGATCGAGACCATCCTGGTCAACATGGTGAAACCCCGTCTCTACTAAAAATACAAAAAATTAGCTGGGCATGGTGGTGCGTGCCTGTAATCCCAGCTACTCAGGAGGCTGAGGCAGGAGAATTGCCTGAACCCAGGAGGCGGAGGTTGCGGTGAGCCGAGATCGAGCCATTGCACTCCAGCCTGGGTAACAAGAGCGAAACTCCATCTCAAAAAAAAAAAAAAAAAAAAAAAAAAAAAAAAAAAAAAAAAAAAAAAAGAAGGCATAGACTAGAAAAGGAATGGGCAGGATAAATTAAGCCAATGACTCTAATTACCCTAAATTGGACCCTAATGCTTTATCCTTTTGCTTGAAATGTTTCTCACTCTGGCATTTTAAATAAAACCTGAACCCAATGTTGGGAAATAAATCTTGTTCCTTCATTTCTCAAGTCCTTTGCTCAGATAAAGACTTCCTCAACACCAACGATTCTGGCACAATTAAGACATCAAAAATCAGCATTCCTTTCAGGCCACCCAAGTCGTTTGTAATAGCTTGTAACATTCAAAAGCCCTCCTTTTTTTTTTTTCCTTTTCTTCTTTGAATGGAAAAAAAAAAAAAAAAAAGGAAAAAGAGAGACTTAGCAAAAAGTGAAAAAAAAAAAAAAAAAGGGAGAGAGAAGACAAAAAGAAAGAAAAAATAACAAAAGGAAGGAAGGAGCCGCCGCACCACCAGCCTGTGGTCTTCAAATACTTACTACTTGTTTCTGTTTGAGGGGCTTGACACAGAAAGTTCCATCTGTGTGCTGGAATGAAAATACGAAAGTTACAACAAGGAAGGGAGGGTAACAAGGCACCAGGTTTTCTTCTGTTGTCTCCCAGTTACAGTTGCCCCCCTCTCATCTGCAGTTTCGTTTTCCATGGTTTCAATTCCCCACCGTCAACCACTGTTTGAAAATATTACATACAATAAAATATTTCGAGCGAGAAAAAGGCACATTCAGACTTTTTATTACCTTGTAGTTGTAATTGTTTTAGTTTACTATTAGTTATTCTTAATCTCTTTCTGTTCCTAATGTATGAATTAAACTTTATCATAGGTGTGGATGTAGTATAGGAAAAACCACAGTCTATACGAGGGTTCTGTACTATCTGCAGTTTCAGGCATCCACTGAGGGTCTTGGAACGTATCTCCTGAGGATAACCAGGGGCACTATTGTACACACGTTCCTGGACACTTGCACAATGGAATTACACAATCCTAATACTTTAAAGGTCTTAAAATTATCCAGTCTAACCCTATTCTTCCCTCCCTCCCTCCCTTCCCTTCCTTCCTTTTTCTTTTTCTTTTTTCTTTTTTTCCTGAGACAGAGTCTTGCTCTATCACCCAGGCTGAAGTGCAGTGGTGCCATCTTGGCTGACAGCAACCCCTGCCTCCTGGGTTCAAACAATTCTCCTGCTTCAGCCTCCTGAGTAGCTGGGATTACAAGTGCCCAGCTAATTTTTGCATTTTTGTTTTTGATATGGAGTCTCGCTCTGTTGTCCAGCTGGAGTGCAGTGGCGAAATCTCAGCTCACTGCAACCTCTGCTTCTCAGGTTCAAGTGATTCTCCTGCCTCTCAGGTTCAAGTGATTCTCCTGCCTCAGCCTCCCTAGTAGCTGGGACTACAGGTGCATGCCACCATGTCCAGCTAATTTTTATATTTTTAGTAGAGATGGGTTTGCACCATGTTTGCCAGATGGTCTCGATCTCTTGATCTCGTGATCCACCCCACTCAGCCTTCCAAAGTGCTGGGATTACAGGCGTCTGTGCCCGGCCTTATCATTTTTGTATTTTTAACAGAGGCAGGGTTTTGCCATGTTTCCCAGGCTAGTCTCGAAATCCTGGCCTCAAGTGATCCACCCACCTTGGCCTCCCAAAGTGTTGGGATTATAGGTGTGAGCCACCATGTCTGGCCCAGTCTAACCCTTTCATTTTAAGGAGACTGAGGCCTAAGGAGTTGAAGGTCCTGTAGCAAGCTGGTGGCAGGGATGGCCCTAGATCGAAGCATAGCCCCCACCGTGATGTTCTTTCACACTACAGTCTCTAGAGCCAGACCCATTCTGCTGAGTGCAGGCAGCCAGCAAATGAGTTACATGCGTCTCACATGAAAGAAAGGGCTAAAGGCATTAAATCAAGATCCTCTAAAGTCACTCACCTTCTCAAAAGTACCCAGCAGTACATGGCAATGGCCAAAATACTCTGAAAGAAACAAAGGCACATGAGTAAAGAAGCCCAAACAGCACACCCTGAAGCCCATGACCTTTTCCAATTCCCTGCAAGCTGGCAAACCAAATATGCCAGTTTGTCCCTAGAAGGGACACGTTATATAACCACACTTTTTTTTTTTTTTGAGACAGGGTCTTGCTCTGTTGCCCAGGCTGGAGCGTGGTGGCATGATCTTGGCTCACTGCAGCCTCTGCCTCCCAGGTTCCAGCGATTCTCCTGCCTCAGCCTTCCACGTAGCTGGGATTAAAGGCATGAGCTACCATGCCTGGCTAATTTTTTGTTTTTTTAGTAGAGTCAGGGTTTTACCATGTTGGCCAGGCTGGTCAACATGACCTCGGGCGATCTGCCCACCTCAGCCTCCAAAAGTACTAGGATTACAGGTATGAGCCACCACACTCGGCTAACCCACACTTTTTTAAGACAGAGTCTCACTCTTTTGCCCATGGTGAAGTGCAGTGGCACAATCTTGACTCACTGCAACCTCCACCTTCTGGGTTCAAGCGATTCTCCTGCCTCAGCCTCCCAAGTAGTTGAGATTACAGGCATGAACTGCCATGCCCGGCTGATTTTTGTATTTTTAGTAGAGATAGGGTTTCACCATGTTGCCCGGGCTGGTCTTGAACTCCTGATCTCAGGTGATCTATCCACCTCCACCTCCCAAAGTGCTGGGATTACAGCTACTGCACCCAGCCAAACCAACACTTTTCACATCGGCCCAGGAGCTTGAAGTCACAGATGTGAGAGGATGTAGAGACTGCCTGACCCACAGTCATAAACACCCACAAAGAAGGCATGTTATTCTGGGCCACAGCTGCTGCCAGGAATATGCCACAAAAGAGCAGTGTTGCCCAGCCATAGAGGACAGAAATCGCCCCTACCGTCTCCTTCATCTACCACGGCATGTACCACTAGAGGGTAAACCTCTCGGTCCAGATCAAAGCCAAGCTGAAGGGAAAGAAAAGGAAAGAAAAAAAAAAAAAAAAAAAGAAAGAGGACTTAACATATATAGATGGCACAGTTAATCTCAGAAAGGGCGATAGAGTCAAGAAGCATTAATCTCATCTCTGCTCCTCATTCATCAGCTTTATTAATTACTCAAGTATGTTAATTGAGGGCAATCAGTTTCTTTTCAAAATTTCATAGATGTAAATAAAGCCCTCTAACCTATAGGTTTTTTTTTTTTTTTTTTTTTTTTTTCCTGGAGCATGACTTTCTCAAAGTATCCCAGGCTAATGTGCTATTTGGAATGGAAAAATTAATGAAGTCACGTATATCCTTGATGCAAAATAAGCAGAGCTTTAAAAGGACATGATGAAGTCACAAGGCTGAGGGGTAAGCATGGCCTTCAAGCTTCTGAGCAGCCCCTTTGCTGTCGGCTGGAGTCCTAAGTAGCCCCTTGGCCCTTCTGAGTTGATGTGGGAAGCACTCCCCAGAGGCAGCTCACCTCCTCTTCCGCCCACTCGGAGGGGTCCACGGTGTGGGAGGGCAGGCAGAACTGCTGACACACTCCTCGCTTGTAGTGCACAGTCTCCGACTGGAGGCTGTTGTCTTTGGGAATGTAGCTATTGATACAAGTGGGAGGCAAAGGAAAAGTCAGTATCCGGCACAGATGTGTCTGACAACTTCCTCTGCTCATGCCTGCTCTCAATTATCAACAGGCTCTAGCAAAGAGAAGAAAGGGTCCTTTATAATCCATTTCCTTTGCTCTTGCTTGGCAATGTTAAACTTTTCTATTCAACCTACACATCCAAAGAAAAGTAGCTTACTAGATTTTTAACAGCATGTTAAGGACCCAAAGGACTATCCACCATTTGCTACTATACCAAGATGGCACAATTTGAAGGGAAAAGGTAGAGGAAGGCTTTGTAGAAAATCTAAATTCAGGAACCAGATCTCATCTGGGTGCAGAAAAGGAATGTTTTCTGCTCTTGCTGAGTGGATAAGACATGGACTCTGCCTATCTGGGAAGGAAGTGGCTCACCTGGTCTCCTGATCTTACCTGGCAATACCATTCTGGAACTCTTCCATGGCCTGGTAATAGATGGTGATGGCTACCCGAGCATCTGTGTCAAAGGTGAACTCAACATTGTAGTGGACTTTAGCTTTGCTGGCCTCTTCTCCAGGGCTCTTCACTTCCTCAGCACATCTAGAAAACCAGAGACTTAGCATTTGCAGGGTAGCATATCGATGTTTTAAAATTTACCTTTTTTTTTTAAAAATTTAGCAATATATTGTGGACTTCTATAGATGATCGTAAGCATAGGTCTACCTCTTCATTCTGAATGATCACAGAGTACTTTGTGATCAATATTGCTGGGCATTTAGGTTGCTTCTGATATTTCACAGTGCTACCATTACACCATTGTGCATTTGTCACTTTTGTTTTTATTTCAATAAAAAGTTATTAATTATATAGTTTAAATAGTTTCCTCAAGACAAAAAACAGCAGGCCTTACCTATTCCCTTTCCTCCTCTTCAGAGGACACCCCTTTTGGCGATCATTTTGTCATTTACCCACGTTTCTAAAAAATACACTTGGGTTACGACGTCTTGACTTTTCAGTTTCAGGCATTATCTATTGATTTCCTACTATGGAAACAAGGATTTCTCTTTCCTCACTCTGCTCCACATAGGAACTCCCCCATGCCCACAGTATAGCTGCATCATGATTTTATTATAATAGTCCAGTACAAGGCCGGGCGCGGTGGCTCAAGCCTGTAATCCCAGGACTTTGGGAGGCCTAGGCGGGTGGACCACAAGGTCAAGAGATCGAGACCATCCTGGTCAACATGGTGAAACCTCGTCTCTACTAAAAATACAAAAATTAGCTGGGCATGGTGGCACGTGCCTGTAATCCCAGCTACTCAGGAGGCTGAGGCAGGAGAATTGCCTGAACCCAGGAGGCGGAGGTTGCGGTGAGCCAGGATCGCGCCATTGCGCTCCAGCCTGGGTAACAAGAGCGAAAACTCCGTCTCAAAAAAAAAAAAAAAAAAAAAAAAATAGTCCAGTACATTAGTGTCTGCATTACAGTGATTATATCAACATATAATCTATGATTATTTTTTTCCTGCATAACTTTTTCTTTTTTATTTTATTTTTATTTTTTGCTTTTTGTGTAACTTTTTCTTAATGCTCATCCTGTTTTCTTTTTTCAGTTGCAGTTTTCTATGTACTTAACACAAATTCCAACCCAGGCTCTCTGGGACTAAGTCTCTCAAGACGTTCAGATGCACCAGGCGGTCTATTCGTCTTCTCAAGGAGGTCCCTTCTAGAGTCCTCGGGCTTGCTCCCATCTGTACTTGGCCCGCTGCACCTGGCTTCTAGCTGCCACCCTGGAATCTCTCCCCCTCCATCATCCCGGTGGGTCCCCTTTGCCTCTGTCCTCCTGGAGAAGCTCGTGTTTCCTGCACCTCACGTCTTCCTCTGTCTCGGGTTATTGGTAGAGCATGTTTTCTACCAGCTTCCTGAAAGAGGGTGTGTTGGGAAATAAACTTCTTGAAAGCTTTTATTCAACACTCACACTTCACTGAAAGTTTGGCTGAGCAAAGAATTCTAGATTACAAATAATTTCTAAAAGATACTGAGAGCCTTTTCACCTTCCAAGCGTTGTTCCCAAGAAGTCTGAAGCTGTTCCAACTGCTGGTCCTTCTTCTAAAAGCTTATGGACGTTCTTCTTTCTCATCCATTGTGTGGGCACTTGGTGGTCCTTTCCCTTTAGAAATTTGTACCCTCTGGTGCTGAGAAATTTTCTTAAATTCTATGTCATTGATGATTTCCTTTATTATTATTATTATTATTATTTTTTTTTTTTGAGACGGAGTTTCGCTCTTGTTACCCAGGCTGGAGTGCAATGGCACGATCTCGGCTCACCGCAACCTCCGCCTCCCGGGTTCAGGCAATTCTCCTGCCTCAGCCTCCTGAGTACCTGGGATTACAGGCACGCGCCACCATGCCCAGCTAATTTTTTTTTGTATTTTTAGTAGAGACGGGGTTTCGCCATGTTGACCAGGATGGTCTCGATTTCTTAACCTTGCGATCTGCCCGCCTTGGCCTCCCAAAGGCTGGGATTATGGGCGTGTGCCACTGCGCCCAGCCTCCTTGTTTTTACTTTCTAAAAGCTATTGTTTTTGGTTCATAAACACTTTGTGTCATTGAGATTTCTTCTCTCATGTCTCTGAAACTATTAATGAAGTTTTGTTCTTCCTGCATAGTTTTTGTTTCCAATTAGATTTTTTTTTTTTTACTTTATTATTATTTTATATAGAGATGGGGGTCTCACTATGTTGCCCAGGCTGGTCTCAAACGCCTGGGCTCAGGTGATCCTCCTGCCTTGGCCTCCCAAAGTGCTGGGATTACAGGTGTGAGCCACCATCCCTGGCCTAGTTGGGTCATTTTAAAACATCTGTTTGTTTTGCCACTGTCTTTCCTATTGTAGCCATTCCTCACACATCTAAGACTCTGTGGCTGTCTGCTTATATTTAAGGTAAACTGCTGATTAGAGTTCTGAGTGCACAGCAGGACTTGGGGACCCTGGGCTTCACTGTGGGCTGTCCTGGATATGCTGAGGAACCTCCAACTCTAGTCTCAGGTTTCCTATCCAGGTAGGTCCAATTTCCAGAAAACAGTTTTCCTCTCTCTTGATGAAGACCTGGCTGCCAGCATTCGAGGGGCAGAGTGGAGAGGCAGCGAGGGGGCTGAACACCCAGTATGCCAGGAGCCACTGACCCCATTTTGTTTTCTTGAGATAGGTTCTCAGTCTTACCCAGGCTGGAGTACAGTGGTGTGACAGTGACTCATTGCAGCCTCAACCTCCCTGGGCTCAGGTGACCCTTCCACTTCAGCCTCCCAATTAGCTTGGACTACAGGTGTGAACCACTATGCTTAGGCTAATTTTTGTATTTCTTGTAGAGACAGGGCTTTACCATGTTGCCTAGGCTGGTCAGCCTGTTTTTAGCACTGAGTCTGGCCCTTAGCCATGCCTGGGTCTCTCCTTTCCAGAGATTCTCTGTTTTGACCTTTTCAAGGAGAGTCATCTGCCTGCCTTTTGCCAGGGTGGAGGAAGGTAGTTCTGGCTGTGTGGTACAAGGGAGGGGATCTGCCTACCTCATGGGCAGACTGTCCACCAATCCTCTTCATTTTAGCTTTCCACCTCAACTTCTAGAGGGACCTGGTACTGTTAATTTCTGAACCCTTCGGGGGATAATATCACAAAATAAATTGGGTAATTTCTCAGCTTTTCTTTCTGCTAGCTCAGGATTCTGATTTCCTGGGTCTACTAAGTCATTTAACATTCATTCTGTGTTTCCAGCTTCTACAAGTGTGTTGCTGTTGCCCTTTTCTCATTCTCCAAACAAATACTTAGAGACTTACGCTTTTTTTTTTTTTTTTTAGATGGAGTCTTACTCTCTGTTACCCAGGGTGGAATGCAGTGGTACAATCTCAGCTCACTGCAACCTCTGCCTCCCGGTTCAAGTGATTCTCCTGCTTCAGCCTCTGGAGCAACTGGGATTACAGGCATGTGCCACCATGTCTGGCTAATTTTTGTATTTTTAGTAGAGATGGGGTTCACCATGTTAGCTAGGCTGGTCTTGAACTCCTGACTTCAGGTGATCTGCCCACCCTTGTCCTCCCAAAGTGCTGGGATTACAGGTGTGAGCCATTGCGCCCGGCCAGATTTATGCCATTTAAATTTACGTTTATTATTACTTAATGGGGTTTTGAGAGGAAGCAAAAGTAGGTGTTCAATCCTCCATCTTTACCTGGAAATCTGAGAATCAGAATTTATTTCCATAATCACAGAAAAACAAAACAAAGAACACCCTTCAATTTAAAATTTATTGAACATCAGGTGTTTTCCCTTTTGTTATCTTAATTTTGACAACCACCATGAAAGGTAAAGTTGATTATCACCATTTTACAGATTAAAAAATCTGGGCCGGGCGCGGTGGCTCAAGCCTGTAATCCAGCACTTTGGGAGGCTGAGGCAGGTGGATCACGAGGTCAAGAGATCGAGACCATCCTGGTCAACATGGTGAAACCAAGTCTCTACTATAAATACAAAAAATTAGCTGGGCATGGTGGCACGTGCCTGTAATCCCAGCTACTCAGGAGGCTGAGGCAGGAGAATTGCCTGAACCCAGGAGGTGGAAGTTGCAGTGAGCTGAGATCGCGCCATTGCACTCCAGCCTGGGTAATAAGAGCGAAACTCCATCTCAAAAAAAAAAAAAAAAAAAAAAAAAAAAAAAAAAAAAATCTGAAGCTCAGACACTCATTCAAGCAAGCATCTGTGGATCTGGGAAGCAAATGGCTCTGCTGCTTCCAAGTCTGGTTCTTCTAGCACATGACAGCTCCTTCACCCTACTCTAGAGCTGTGGCCAGGCTGCCACAGCAGAGGCTAGGATCTCACAGCAGCTCAGACCCTTGAACAGTCTCCATCAAATGTGTAAGCGTGCCGTATGTGATGAGAGAAGCCAAGTGGATGGAGTAGCTGGCAGCTGGCAGGCCCCAGAGGCCTCGTTAGTCTGCTCGGCTGCTGGATGAACTCCCGTGGGTGGGGTGGGGGGACTGTTCTGCAGCAGACAGGTACCTCCTTGGTCTCTCCTCCCTAGAGGTGACCCTGGGGTGGAAGTATAGCTGGGGAACCAGTAAAAACTTCAGGGACAAATAAAATATAAAAAATTAATAGAAACAGAAAATAGATTAGTGGGTACTCAGAGTTGGGAGGAGCGCTTGAGCCTGGGAAGTCAAGGCTGCAGTGAGCCGATTCTGCCACTGTACTGCAGCCTGGGTGACAAAGCAAGACTCTGTCTCCAAAAAAAAAAAAAAAAAAAAAAAAAATCAGACAGCAACATCGTAATGCTAATAAGGCTGATCTATATAAGCATGAGATGGTCTCTGAGTCATCTTCCTTGTCTATTCAGAAAAATCTGGGACCTCTGATTTGCCCTAACCAAATTTTTTCCCCAGGGAATCAGAGAGCCTTAGTAGATGAACTGTCTAGGGGTGGCGGGCGATAGGAATGTATCAGATTAAAAATTACACTATCTCGAGGAGGGCACCAAGAAGGCAAATGATGATAATTAACACTGATGATGAGGATTAAACGACCAACCCAGGGCACTATGAGTTCCTCAGAGAACAGACACATGAGATGGAAAATAAAAAAGAAAAAGAAAACATAAGGAATTAAATAAAGGATTTGATATTCTAAGTTCAAATTTCCCATTTTTACATTGGCTTGCTGGAGTAGCTGCAAAAATTCCCATTTTCCCTTAATAACTCCTCTTTCCTTTAAAAAAAATCCATAAAATAAGGATAATGAGCATTTCTAGGCAAGTGAAAGTTCTTCACAAACACAGAGCATTGCATCCAGTGCTAACAACATGGGTGTAGACAGCCTGATCTCAGCAAAAGTAGCACCCACACTCCTGCCTGATGCCTGGAGAGGCAGGCTCTGGGGCTGCCGGAAACCGCTGTGTGAGTTCCTTGGGGAGTCTGTCCCTTAGCCCCCAACCTCCAACAAAGGAAGGTGCCTGGGACCTGGCCCCAGCCTCCGAGAACTTACCTGACGAGCCTCAGTGTGTCCTTTCGGATATTGACGAGGCTTCTCAGCGTCTTCACGGGTTCTTGGGGAGGTGGGGTGGCGTAAGGAAACTGTGTCAGAAGCAAAGTAGGAGAAGGTGGTGTGTTATAAAGACCCACAACTGTCCCTCGCTGTTACAGGGCTTTAGAGTTCACCAAGAATAGCCCTAAGAGGTGAGGCAGGAAGGCACAACTTTCCAAATTAAGTGAGGAAACTGAAACTCTGACATACTGAGTCAACTTGCTCAAGGTCACAGCTAGTCGGAAAACTGGGATTCAATCTGGGGCCCAAAGAGCTAGACTTCTCTTCTTTTTCCATTATATGAAGCTTATTTGGGTCAGTGTTCAAAAGTTGGAGAATTAATAAAAAATCACTGAAGTTCCAAATACCAAAGGACACACTGTGGCCGAGTTAATCACAAAAGGCTTTTCCATCTGACCTCAGACGACAGGGAGCCAGACTTGCAAGCCCTTTCCTTCAGTGAAGCCATATGGTATCCCAGGAATTTAGGGACTGCAAATAAAAGAGAACCCTATCATGTGTACAGAGCTGAAGTTTGCAAACAGTGAAGAACAAATTTCCCCTGCAGCTGATCATATAAAGCAGAGCTCTTTAACGTGTGAGCCAAGTGCTATTTTGGGGTCACCAAAGGTTTATGTTGTCTTCATCATTTGCCATCCACTTTCTCCCCTTTACCTGTTTAGATCTTTGGATTTGAAGTTCTGAGTTGATGACAATGAAGAGATAAAGAAAGGGGAAACAGCCAAAATGTCTCTGGAAATTGCCTTCTGAAGATCGAGAATGATTTCAAATGTTCACAGTATTTTTATACTGTTATTTGGGCAATCAAAATGTTTTAACATGTAATTCCCAAAAAACCTACTGGTCTCTGCAGCTTTGCAAAACTGTGGTTCTCTTGGCTCAAAAAGAGTCTGCCCCTAGAGTGGGGTTTCAGAAAACAGGACATGCAAGTTATAATCTGACTGTGCCTTCACAGATTTTTATTGAATGTGGTTATTTTACTTGCGAAACAATAAAGTTAAATCACAATTAAGGTGCATCCAACTTTACATATGCAGTATGATTGGTTATAACTCACATGTATGGATGTGACTCTTACATTTAATAGAAATTATTTGCATTCAATTACCCACTTTGTGGGTATTAGGTAGTAATTTACTTTTTCATTGATCAATTAACCATACATTCTTTTAAAAATGATAGTTTTTTTAAAATTACAAAGTAATACATGCTTAAAGCAGAAAATGTGAAAAACACAAAAAAGCACAAAACTATCCCTAATTTTACTACTCAGCAATACCAAAATTAACACTACAGAATATGTATCTCCGTCCGTCCATCCATCTATCCATCCATCCATCCACCTCTATATCTAGGTGTTGTTTCAAACTGAACATACTATTTTGTAGTTTCTTTTTCACTTAAAAAGATGTGGCAAAGGCCGGGCGCGGTGGCTCAAGCCTGTAATCCCAGCACTTTGGGAGGCCGAGGCGGGCAGATCACGAGGTCAAGAGATCGAGACCATCCTGGTCAACATGGCGAAACCCCGTCTCTACTAAAAATACAAAACATTAGCTGGGCATGGTGGCGTGTGCCTGTAATCCCAGCTACTCAGGAGGCTGAGGCAGGAGAATTGCCTGAACCCAGGAGGCGGAGGTTGCGGTGAGCCGAGATCGCGCCATTGCACTCCAGCCTGGGTAACAAGAGTGAAACTCCGTCTCAAAAAAAAAAAAAAAAAAAAAAAAAAGATGTGGCAAACATTTTTAAAGTCTATAATTTTGAAAAGATGTGCAGATTAACAGCATACTTTAATCAGTTCCATATTATTCAATATTGTATGGTGGTTTTACTTTTTTTTTTTGCTGCTATAAATGTTGTGGTGAATATCCTTGTCTCTATATTTCTGCATGCTTGTTTGATTATTTCCTTAGGACAAATTCCTAGAAGTGGAATTACTGGATCAAAGGGTACACATATTTTTAAGACTTTTAAAATTATTCTGCCAAATTGTTTTCCACAAAGCTGACTCCAGCTTTGCCCTCCTGCCAGCAGTACGTCAGCAGGCCTTGACATGGGAGAACTGAAACTCTAGTTCAGATCCCATCTGTGGCCCGTGTCTCCTCCCCCAACTTTCCTAGGCTGTCATACTAAAGGAATTTAAAACAATTTTTAAATAAGCTTAAGCAAAAAGTAATTAGGCAGGAAAATCCGACACAAATGCTAGTCTATTCTAAAGCCAAAATAAATGACTCTGGGATTAAAATTTTTCTCGGGAGTAGCAAAGTTAATCATTTTCAATTTGTACAGGTACTTGGGAGTTATCCATAACTCCTATCTGCATTTCAAAAAAAAAGATGCGTTCTTTCCCTCATTCTTTAGTCTTTCTCCTCCAATAGCTACCCGCTGCTGCAAAAGAGGGAAACATAAAAAGAAAGAAAAAAATCCTAGCACTCTTCATCCTCCATTTTTAATATTATCTTTGATGATAACTGTGGCAATGAAACAAACTATTTGGCACTTAAGGAAAGGTATCCATGAGCTCAATTGTGAATAAATCCAACCCTACACTTTAGGCTCTCCCTACACACACACACACACACACACACACACACACACACACACACACACGCGAAAACAATGGCAAATCTGTTCAGGAGAACCTTGCTCGTGGGCTGCTACCTACCAAAGTTTGTGGCTTGGTGGTGTTTCATTCATGCAATCAGAGTCTACATGCAACATTCCATGCTACGTGTAAGAAGAGATTTAAAACAAAGAAGATAAGGCCCTGCTCTTTCAGGAAGCAACTGTAATACCAAAGAGATTAAAAATATTAACATTTTGCCACCAAAGTAAAAAATAAAGGAAGTGATCACTTCTGGCTGAGGTAATCTGAAGGCTTCACGGAGGAGGTGGTACTTGATCTGGGATCTTAAAGGGTAAATGAAGGGGAACAATAGGATCAGTGGCAAATTGAAAAAAATACTTTTCTGCTCTTAGTTATCTCCCATTCTTCTGTAAATCGATTTTACCTACCATTACTCTCTAAATTTCTTAGTTATCTTCCTTTTACAAATGACCATTTATTGAGTGCTTACTATTGATGACAGTGGTTGGCCACTGCAGGGAGGGTGCAGGGAGCAGGCAGACAGCCCCTCCATAGCCTGCTGCCCTGGGGGCCGCCCCACGGGACTGGCTGGGTTACCCACCATCAGAGGAGCAGAGCGGCAGGAGGGCAGCTCTGTAGGGCGGAAAGGAGCCCCCAAGGCAGAACTGGGCCTGGGGCAGTGCGACACTTGCACAGGAAGCCCAGGGCCGGGCCTGGGCACAGAGCTGGGGCCACGTTTCAGGGGCCCAGGGCAGGAAGTGGGAGCAGTCCTCACTTCAGGGACCTGGCCAGCAGTGCAGCCACTGCGCCCACCGTGCCGAGGGTGCCAGGTTCCTGAACCTCAGGAGGAGGCTTTGCGCAGGCCATCTGGGGTTGCGCTCCTGGGTCTGCTCCACATCGTCGTGACCGTTGAGCCTAACACTCCGATGGCCCAGCTCAGGCCCATGATCCACTCTGCCCCAGGACACCACTGAAGTGCCAGGGCAACAGGGGGAGCTCATGGTGATGTCACCCTGCCCGGACACTGACCCAGTGAGGACCTGAAGCCCCTGCCCCAGGCTGGGAGGGGGTGAGGCAAGGGCTGCATGCTCCACAGAGCAGGTGGGAGCCAGGAGCAGGCAGCAGCCCTGCCTGGGGCTGTAGCCGTCCAATTCAGGGTTGTGGACCTGGGCCTCCATAAGCTCTTGGAGACATGGGAAGTCCTGCCCCCACTCCTCAACTGGCTCAGAAGTGACTGTTCCAGCTGCCTGGCTCCTGTCTGCTGTTGGTGCTGGTTTTGATCTCTGAGCAATGTGGGGCCAAGCCCAGGTGCTGTCACACCGAGGCTGGGAGTGTACACGGTACACAGCTCCCTGCTGCCTCAGCTCCCTCCAGACTTAGGGCCCTGATGAGCATGGGGGAAGATGGAGGAGCCGAGGGGGTACTTAGGGCACCTTGGTGCTGGTCTTCAGGGAGGGCCTAAAGCCTGGAGACCTGACTACCAGTCCCACCCACTGGAGTGGGAACTTGTGGTGCCATTTCTGGGCCTGTCCATGGCTGGCCATGGAGCAGTCTACCTGCACTTCCTCCCCTCTGAGGCCCATAGAAGCCTGGGCTCAGCCAGAACAGAGCAGAGGTTGGGACCACCATCTACAGAGAGGAGCTACCTATGCCAGGGCCTCCTGTCTACTGAGAGCTGGGGAGACGATGGGACAACCTGCCTGCAGAGAGATGCAACCCATTCCAGGGCCTCCTCTCTCCTGAGAGTTGCAGAGACATCCAGAAGACCAGCTGCAGTGAGGAGCTACGCATTCCAGGGCCTCCTCTCTGCTGAGAGCTGGGGAGACGATGGGACAACCTGCCTGCAGAGAGGAGCAGCCCATTCCAGGGCCTCCGTTCTGCTGAGAGCTGCAGAGAAGACAGGATGGCCTTCCTGCGGAGGAGAGCTTCCCACTCCAGGGTCTCTCTGCTAGGACACTTGTCGGGACACCTTGGCTGCAGAAAGGAGCTGCCCACTGCGGGTTTTCTCTGACTGTTCTATCGCTCAATAAGCCTCCTCTTTGTCTTGCTCACCCTCCATTTGTCTGCATATCTCATTCTTCCTGGTTGCAGGACAAGAACTAGGGACCCATCGAATGGTGGGACTAAAGGAATTATAACGCAAACAGGGCTGTAACATGTTCCTTGCTCATCATGTTGCGGGCAAAGAGGAGAGGAGAACAGTGGCCCTTCAGGGAGCCCAGACCTGGGAGCTCCCCGAGCCAGGGTTGTGACTTCTTTGTGGCCCTGTGATTCCTGGTGTCTCCAAGCTTCCAGGTGCCACTGCATTCCCTGGTGTCAGCTGGGAGAGTGGCTTGCAGTGCAACTGGTCCAGCCACAGCCTCGCAGACAGCTGGCACCCACCTGGCACCTGAGGCTGCCAGCCCCATGGCAGTAGCCGGCATGTCTGACTGCACAGTGGCCAGA